TATATATATATATATAATTTAACTTAATTATTTTGTGTAAAATAAGTTGAATAGGAAAGAAGAAAATTTTAATTGTTTTTTGTTAAGTATTCATTTTGGATTCTTTTATGTAATAAATGAATCAAACGCGAAGCTGAACAAGAAGATTTGTTCGCAAGTAATAAACCGTTTTGATAGCTTACACATCCCATAACTTATAAGTCTATATAAGGCTAGAAGCACACCGCCTTCTTCGTCAGTCCACTACATTCGAAGCCCTACGAGGGATCAGAATAGGATTTCTGGAACCGCTTCTTCTTGTTAGTTGCCACTCCGCTTTCATTAGTTGAAGATCAAAAACTTTTTGGTTGATCTACTTTCATTGTTGGCCATGGCGGAGGAGTTCAAAGAGCAGACTAATTTGAACGCGGAGGAAGGGGAAGGGCAGGTTAAGGATCGGGGGTTGTTCGACTTCGTCCACAAGAAGAAAGAGGAAGATGAGAATAAGCCTCAGGAGGAAGTTTTGGTGACCGGCGTCGAGAAGATTCACATAGAGGACAGCCACAAGGCAGAGGAGAAGAAACACGGGCTTCTTGAAAAGCTCCACCGATCTCACAGTTCCAGCTCTTCTAGCTCCTCGGTAAAATCTCTCTTTTGTTCCGTTTGACGATTTTCTTTGTATTCAATTGCCGAAGGTTTAGAGAATTTGATTTTATTGAATTCTGTAACGATCTGTTATGTTGGCAGGATGAAGGGGAAGTTGAAGGGGAGGGAGGAGTTAAAGAGAAGATCAAGAAGAAGAAGAAGAAGGGTCTGAAAGAAAAGCTGCACGGAGGGGAGAAAAAGGAGGAAGAAGAGAAGAAAGAGCCGGCGGTAGTGGTTGAAAAGGTAGATGTGTTCGAGGAAGCTGTGCTGGCTCCTGGAGAGGAGAAGAAGGGGTTCCTCGAAAAGATAAAGGAAAAGCTTCCCGGACACGGCAAGAAAGCGGCGGAGGAGGGCGGAGCTGTGCCGCCACCGCCGCCTCCGCCCGCCGGCTGTTGAACATGAGGCCTTGGAGGGGACGGAAGGAAAGGAGAAGAAGGGGTTTTTGGGGAAGATAATTGAGAAGCTTCCAGGGTATCATAAGAACGCAGGAGAGGAGGCTGAGAAGAGTCCTGGCAGCCATTAATCTGATTGAAGGGGAAATGGAATGATTTTACTGCTTTTGTGTTTAAGAGTAATGTTTGCTGTGTTAGTGGTGATTGTTTTGTGTATTTTGGTTGCTGTGGTTTGAGTGTTGTTTTTGATGATGTTGAAGGATGATGATCATATGTTCTGATTTCTGTATGAATTCTATGTTTTGTTAATGATGTATTTTTTTTTTTTTTTGTTGGTATAGCTTGTTGATTTTTATGCTTTCAAAAATTAAGAATAGTATGTATATAGTTATGTATTATGCTGTTTGTATTTTGTTTTTGTGAAATTTACATACATATTAAACAGTTTTTATGTATTTATATTTCTAACAACTATTTCTTAAAATCTAAATTTCAACACATTGGTGTCATAATTTACTTTTAAGAAATGAATGATGATGATATTTTTAATATGATGTTTAGGATTCATGTATAACTGTTTAGATATAGGATTTGTAAATTTATAAGAAATATATGATATGCATGTAAATGTTCCTTAAAAATTATTGATTAAATTACACTAAAATAACACAAACATTAATTTATTTAAAGTAAACATTAAAGCTACTTAAATAATAAGCTATACAAATATATGTAAAATACTAAATAACAAGTATTCAAGTAGAAACTTTTTTAAACATTTTCCACAAATAAATGTGGAGCCAAAGATGAAAAACAATCCCACGAACTAAGTGCTGACTCGAGTGCCTCACCTGCCTATTATCAAAAGTTTAAATAAGGGATTTACAATTATAGTACTTCTTGAAACAATCAAAATTATCTCCGTGTAATCTTTTTATTAATAAAATAGGGCGTGACTCGTCTTCCCACAAATTTATATCAGATTTTATGCAATTTTTTGCGTACTATCAATTAATCTGTTTGAAGATTTTCTTGGTAATCAATTGCCTAAGATTTTTTTTTCTTAGAAAATGATTCAGGCCCAGTTTATTAATAATGAAAAGAATTACATAGAATTTGATAATTTTGATTGTTCGTGAAGTATTATGCATGACACGAGTTCGCACGAGCTTTCTTTGAGAATTGTTTTCTTCTTTAGCTGCTTGCTTATTTGTTGAAAATATGTTTAAAAAAAGTTGTAATCAATATTTTTTATTTAAAATTTTATATATATTTGTATAACAACTCATTCTTCAAATAACTTCAAATTTTTTTTAATTTAAATAAATTAATAGTAATGATAATTTTAATGTAATTTAAATATTAATGAGGGAAATCTAAATTTGTCCTGTGTGGCATGCCAAAGAATTGGAACGGTATAAATTGTGAGGGAGGTAGAGAGAGAGAGAGAGAAGAAAATAACTTACACAAACTTACCCTATAGAGGCGACCTGGGGTGTTCTAGGGCTATATGACTCATTTTATATGTTAGAAGTTGAAATTACAAGAGAGAAGAGGATAGATTTCTACCTGCAGGAAATCGGTCTAGAGAAGAAGAGCCAAAAGCCTAAAAGCCAAATGCCCTTCGTGCATATTAGGTTTCCATTATTTATAGAAGATAGAGGAACAAAATGTAAAAATTACATTTTTGCCTCTGCTTTAATAGGAGTGTTTCATCTTATCGTCTTTTGGGTTGCATCATAGTATTCATAACTGATTTTTTACGTCTTTTCTGATGGACACTAGTCGAGCTTCATTCTAGGAAGTCGGTCGCCTTTTTATCTAGACATCGGTGTCGGTCGCCAAATTAAAAATTGTCGGTCGTCGGAATGAGAATCTCGTCGCCTTCTTTAATTTAATATATATATATATATATAATTTTGGAAAAGTAATATGTTTTGAAAATACGAGACCGAACCGATCTCATATCAACCATGTTTAGATGATCTTTTGAAAAAGAATTTAAGTCAAATTCTCAAATTCAATTTTCATTTATGCATGGTGCCATCTCACAAACCCTAAAATTATCGTTTTCTTCAAAGAACAAACCGCTGATCCAAATTACATTCCAAAAGTTTAATAATCTTCATAGTGACACAAGAGGAGCAGGTGAACTAGTTTGGCTGTCATCAGACACTGTCATTACGTAAAATTAATCACAAAAGGTTCTCATGCATAAAAAATGGTACGACATAAGAATATTTGAATGAGTCTTTATTTTTTAAAATGAACATCATCATTGTGTCCATATCATTGGAAACTTTTGAATTAGCCTCTCTTCATTTGAATACAGCTCTTTTTGGAGGTCTATTAAGTCGACGATAATCATAATAGAGAAGAATAATAATTTTAATAATAAAAGAAAAATTTAGCCATGATTTCCTCAAAATGGCCACAATTTCTTGATGGGTAATGTAAGTGTTTTAGAGTAAGTTTTTTTATATTAGTGGTGATTGTTTTGTGTGTTTCGGTTGTTGTGGTTTGATTATTGATTCTGATGGTGTTGAAGGATGACAACTATATGTTTTTATTTTCTTTTGTATGAATTCTATATTTGTTAATGTTGTATTCTTTTGTAGGTTGCATTGATTTTTGTGGTTTCAAAGGTTAAGATTAGTATGTACACAATATATTATGCTATTATTAATTCTTTTTTGTGAAAAGTACATACATATTACACAATATTGAGTATTTACATATCTAACACATATATCTTGATATCTATGTTTTTAACCAATCTATATTCCTAACACTTTAGCTTCATAAATTTATACATACAAAAAAGGAAATTCATTTTTTAAAAGGTAATTGATGTGTGGGAGAATTTCTGTGGCGTTAGAGTAATGAATTATTGTCTTAGCGTTGTACGAAAATCCATCATAATTTCAACTACTTAGAGTAATGAATTAATGGAGGTTATGTAGGTCATAGTATTGAGCTATAATGATGTTTGTAGGACACATGGGCTGAAGTTTGGAGCTTCAAGGGTTGTGTGCCATGACATGCCTAAAATATGTTACTTTTATTTGCACATTTAATGCCTATTTTTAATGACATTTCACTTTAATGAAAGATATTTTTGATAATTTTGGTTGTAGGTACACTAAATGGAGCAAGCATAGCAAATGGAATAAAAATAGAGCAATTTAGAGTCAAAGGAAGCAAAAAGGCCAAAGTTGACTTGGCACCTAGGCGCCAGGAACTGGGGCCTATGCACCAGACAATAGAGATACTGGCGTTTAAGCGCCAAAAAATCAAAAGACTAGTGCCTAAGCGTCATAAATTGGCGCCTTGGTGCCAAAAACAGTTTTCTAGATTGTTTAATCAATGTGAAAGAATTTTGAAAAAGTAATTGAAGGGATTCTTGGAGATTTTTAGAGCTCTATTTAATTAGACTTCTGGAGAGTCTAGGGATAGCCTTTTTGGAGAGAGAGAGAAGGGCTTGGATATTCTTGGAGGCTTGAAGGATTTTGTTGGTGGCTTGCTTAGATTTGGAGGAGAAGGGGAAAAGTGAGAGATATCTTCTTCACTATAGTTTTAAGTGAGATTGGAGTGGAATTGTAAGGAGGGTGAGTGATTCAAAAGAACTAGAAGAATTGCTTGGGATGGAGTTTGATATAGGTTATGTATTTGGTTTATTTTATTTAATCTTGTTTTGTAAACTTATATTTATCTATAAATATTTGTGTTGTTGTTTCTTCACCATGAGATCCGAGTAGTTTCCTTTGTCTTTCTCCCTGTAATGAGGAATAATAATGTGCAGGAATAAATTTTACTAGAAGTACTTTTAATTCCATAAATTGTGATGATTTAAACTCTATTCTTAATTTGCTTATCGATCTAGCCAATTGATTTGTGAAAATCTGTTGTGAAAGATTATGAGTCATAAGGGCTATGATTTCCTCAACATAATGAAAATCACATTTAGTATCATGGATGAGAATGTAGTTCATTGGATTGAGTTTAAAAAAGTAGGGAAATAAGTTTTGATGGGTGTAAATTGGAGATTTTAGAGTGACAGACTAAAATTTTCATTTTGATCTAGATTTTTGGAACCTAAAGCAAGATGTTAGCCTTCAGGTGAATGGGTACATATGCATTCTAGAGTGACAGTTAGATTCTTCCTAGCCAAACCATGAGTTTAGAGACTTAACTTTGGATTAGCCAATATTTTTTATGCACTCGAGAGAGGGTAAAGAATAAGTATGCTCATATTTAGCACAATACTTTAATTATATTTAAAATTATTAGATTCCTACATTGATTATAAACTCATTGCAAGGGGAATGTTGTTTTATACAATTTGAACTCTTCTATACATTGTTAGTTTACAAGTACTTAGTGTTAACTTTACATTTTAGTTTTTTTAGATTGTCTTGAATTTAAATTCTATAGGATTAGTTAATACACAAAGAGTTTTCAAAATTTCTTAAATAAGTTAACCATAGTTTAAAGAGGATTTTACTATCATAATATTTAATTTTGTACAGTAGCATCTTAAAATAAATTTGGTCAAGCCTTTGACTATCTTTCAAAACTTAAATAATTGCATAACTGCAGGTTGGGTCAAGCTTTTGGCACCATTGCCAAGGATAGCAATGAAACCTTTTGACTTAGGAAAATTTTTATTTGAACTATATAATTATTATAGGAAAATTATAGTTTCATTTTTATATGTGCTTATGTGTGTGTATTTAAAAATAAAAATATAAAAAATTAAACATCTTTACTATTTTAATTTGTATGTTTTGCTTATTTTTGTTATTTATCTTTCATTGTGTATGCGTAGTTCGGGATCTCAAGGTTTAGTGCCTTACAATTCTGAGTTTTAGCAAACTATTAGAAAAAGAAGAAAACAAAAGAACTTCACAATTTCCATGAAATGACAAATACTTTACATAATATTTTAGAAAATAAAATTGATGAGAATGAACAAAACCCATTAAGAGATTATGTTAACCCTACGGTAGGTGAAATTTATCGCAGTATATAAACTCATACATAGAAGCCAACACATTTGAATTAAAACCTGCTATTATTCATATGGTATAAAATAACCACTTTGGGGGAACTCCATCTAAAGATCCTAATTTATGTCTCACAAGTTTTTTAGAAGTTTTTGCCACATTTCAGTATAATGGTGCCTCTAACGATCTTGTTAGATTTAGTCTTTTTCCTTTTTCCCTAATGAATAAAACTAATATGTGGTTGAACTCATTAGGACCTGAATCTATTAGAACCTGGAGTGACCTAACATAGAAATTCTTGGC